GACGGTGGCTACCGTGACGGAGGAGCTCGAGAAGAAGCTTCAGGTGATGGTTTTTGTTTTGGAGGGATGATTTTGAATACTAGTTTTGGTTGTTTTCTCATGTTTCGTTGTTTTCTATTTCAGACTGATGAGCCGGTAGTCGAAGACGTAAAGGAAGATGAAGACGACGATGATGATGATGATGACGACGACGACGACGATGAGAAGGATGACGGGGCACAAGGTGGTTGCTTGTCTTCCCTGAATTAGGTTTTCTGCAACTTTTAAGCCACTCGTAAAATTTCGCTAGTTTTCGTTTCCCATGCTTTGAATGCGGTTTTCAAATTCCCTCAGTTATCGCCACTGGTGAATCTTCTGGATTGTTTAATAGAAATGATGAATGTAAATAAATGTGAACAAGTTAGTAGGCCTAATATTTGAAAGTAGTCCTTTTGCTGTTAGGTTGGTGGATTTTAGCATGTGTAAAAGGCTACATCATTGGATTTGAAGTATAATGTTTTCGTTCCTTGATAGCTGGTTCTCTTGAAGCAGAGAGATAATGTTAACAAAGCTACCCCATCTGTTTCTCGGTGAGGATTGTCATTGTCTTGTCTCAGAATACTACATACTTCTTGAGAACAAATGCCCTTTGTTTCTTAAAATCTATACAATTTGGGAATTGTTTTTGCAATTAGAGTTGGACAAAGGATGTGAAGAATTCGCGTGTGTTGCCTTCGTACTCGTTTCTTGTTTTCAGTTCTTTACCATCATGTGGATTTTTACATTATGCGTCTGATGTATATGAGGTTGTTGATTGCAGGTGAAACCGGGAGTTCGAAGCAGAGCAGAAGTGAAAAGAAGAGCAGGAAAGCAATGTTGAAGCTTGGCATGAAACCCGTTACGGGTGTTAGCCGAGTGACCATCAAAAGAACAAAAAACGTAACCCCATATGCTCTATGGCAAACATTCTCGGCTTTTTTTCATGCCAGTAAATATTCCTATTCAATCCCTTTTAACACTCCAATGCTGCAGATACTCTTCTTCATCTCAAAGCCCGATGTCTTCAAGAGCCCGCATTCAGAAACATACGTGATATTTGGAGAGGCCAAGATCGAGGACTTGAGCTCTCAGCTGCAGACACAGGCTGCCCAACAATTCAGAATGCCTGAGATGGGAGCCGCCGCCTCACAGAAGGCAGAGGCATCCGCCGGGACAACAGCTGAAGCACTGCCTGAAGAGGAAGAGGAGGAAGTCGACGAGACAGGTGTCGAGGCTCGGGACATCGATCTGGTCATGACCCAGGCTGGAGTATCGAGAAGCAAGGCCGTCCAGGCACTCAAGACTCACGACGGAGACATCGTAAGCGCCATAATGGAGCTCACCACTTGAAAAACAAAAACAGGGTAAGGTCTTTTGCTCTCTACCCAGATCCAACGCGTGTTTCTTGAAATTCTCATAACTCTGTTCCCTTGTTGTCTTTTGTAATTCTCAAGTTCTTCCTCTGCTATTATAGATAAGTGGTATTTTTATTTTAAAATTTATGCTGGGGTGTGTTATATTCAGTTTCAGTTATTTTGATTTAGTAAAATTACAGTCATTTGAATTCTGTTAACCAACCGAATCCATTACAAATATTTGGAATGTCTTGTTTTTAGTCATTTTAAAGAAAAAAATGATGATATTTATACGAAATTGTTTAATTCCCGGGATTATTGTTTATAAGCCTCAAATTTTGTTCTTCGAAAAGTTTTTTCCTAAATTTTATGAAATGTGATGTGTTTTATACTTTAGTTTGCTTTGAATAATATTAGTTTTTTTTACACGATTAATCCAATAACCATACTTTTAAAAAATATATCTTGTTAAAACAATTTCTAGACCGTAGATATAACTCAACTAAATCCAAAAATGGTTGCCCATCGTTGCATTTATATGTTTATAAAATATATAAATATATGAAGAACGTTCAATTGGGATAGATTATTAAATCGAATAAAATGGTTATACTTTACATAGTTTGTTCTGAAATATACATAGTGGCAACTATTTTTATATTACTTTGGAGGAAAAGAGTGAAGAGGTCGAGGAAGAACAAGCAAGCACACAACTTATTATTATTATTATTATTATTATTATTATTATTATTATTATTATTATTATTATTATTATTATTATTATTATTATTATTATTATTATTATTATTATTATTATTATTATTATTATTATTATTATTATTATTATTATTATTATTATTATTATTATTATTATTATTATTATTATATCAACAAAATAAAAGTGTTATCTCCATACACGATAATCAATAAAAATGGCAGATTGATATTATATCGTTTTGGCCCTAACATTTAATGCTTTAAATAAAAAAAATATTATCGAATTGATAATAATAGAAAAAATTTAAAAAAATGTTAGATTCTACTGAATAAGTATATTTTATATGAATTAAGTTAAATAAATAAGGAAAGATTTAAAAAAAATACTCAACTTTTTAATTTTGACAAAAAAACATTAAACTTTTGATTTTATCAGATAAATATTAAACTTTTTAAATTTATCAAAAAAACACTTAACTCTTCTATGATTGTCAAAATAAACAAATGAATTAACATGATATAAGGAGATGCAAGCACATCAAATTATTGTGGTTGATTTTTTTCTTACAATTGTATATAGTTCATATATTTTTTTGAATCATTTAAAAAGTTTAGTATTTTTTTGACAATTGCATAAAGATTTATGTATTTTTTTAGATCATTTAAAAAGTTTAGTATTTTTTAAAACCCATTTAAAAAGTTTAATATTTATTTGACAACAACAAAAGTTTGTTATTTTTTTTCTGTTAAAATAGTAAAGTTTAGTTTTTTTTTTTGGATTTTCTCAAAAATAAGCTAACTAATTTTAGTAATATTAGATACGTATCATTATTTCATGTTTCCACGATGATATTCTTTTTTCATACAAGAAAACGATGTATCGACCAATGCCGGCGGGCTCTTAATTTACCAAGTAAAAAAGATGCATGGGCATGGATGTAAGGCGGCGCAATATGAGTTGATTTAAACGAACTAGTGCAATCTTAGCCATTAATTAACAAAATAATTTGGGTTGGTTATTTAACGTCTAATTATTTTCTTTATACAAGTTTTTATTCTTCCTTCAACAATACAATGCTTCGTTTCAAAAAATACATGCGGATTTATATGAAGTTAAATAAAATGACGATGACCACGATGAATTATTTCGAATTTTTTCCCGAAGAATATATCGAAAATGTACGTTACACACACACACACATATATATATATATATAAACATTCTCATACGTTACGTACACGTACATATATGTTTACATTCATACATACATATATATGTTCATATATGTATGTGCATATAATCGTGATTAACTAGTGTAATTTGCTTATAGAATTCTATTTAATTAACTTTTTTTTTTTTATTATATAACCCGTTTAACATAAAAATTCAGTTGGATTAAACCAAATAAGCATAATAGTTTAATGAGTTGGGTAATCCACATATCAGAAATATAACCCAAAAGAAAATGCGTTGGGTCCAACATATACATACCCACCAATTTGATAGCTCTAATTAATATATATATATATATATATATGTATGCGCGCACACACGCAAAAATATAATCGTACTCCAAGAAAAGGGTAAAACCCCTAAAAAACCTCCAACTTGCAAAAATATATACAAATAAACCCTCAACTTGAAAAACTATCATTCAATCCCCGAACTTGTAACTTGTCACTGAATAAAACCTCGAACTTGCAAATTATTGCTCTAATAAACCTTTGACCGGTTTGACCACAATTTGAGGCGATTGGAAATCCACGTATTAACATATTGCTGATGTTCTCTTATACACGTTATCAATTTTAATTTAAAAAATGATATCACCAATCCGTCAATACGTGGATCTTCGATCGTTTGAAATTATGGTCAAATCGGTCAAGGGTTTATTAGAGCAATAATTTGCAAGTTCGAGGTTTTATTCAGTGAAAAGTTACAAGTTCGGGGATTGAATGACAGTTTTTCAAGTTGAAGGTTTATTTGTATATATTTTTGCAAGTTGGAGGTTTTTTAGGGGTTTTACCCCCAAGAAAAAGGTGACGCTTTTATTATTTGCCATTATTTTATATTTTTGTTAAAGCCATTATTTTATATTGTTTCTACGTCAGAAGCGTATTCTGTTTTAAATGAGAAGAGTCATGTGATTTGGTCCCCATATCATATCATATCATGTCGTATTTTCTTTATACAGCCCGACAAAATTTGTATATAAATGAACAAAAAAAAAATGTTTCATTATAGTTTTGAATACACCTAAATAAACAAATGTTACGCATCTCTATCTTTATTATCAACAAAAAAAAGACAAAATACAAATAATTGTCCTTAAATTCGGTTACTCATTGAACATATTATTTATGTACAAATCTCAATTAATGCTGATGTTCACTAAACATCACGCATTTCGGATTTATCTTATATTAGAGAAAATGTCAGATGAATTGAGCCAATAAACAAAAAAAAAAAATTGCATATATATATATATATATCGGAACCCGGGCGAGTGGTCAGTTTGTGGTAGAAGGTAACTCCATCTTAAGGTTGAATGTTCGATTCTTGACTGGTGTCGGAAGTTTACCTAGTCAACACACTCGAAAAGTAGTAGATAGGGGTATATTTTATATATATATATATATATAGGAGAAAACTCTGGAAATTATTTGCACGAATATTAAAGGCAATTGCTTTCATTGCTGAATTATGGGAGTTATGATGTCATTTCTTAGCAGAGAGGCAGCGGCCCACTCCTCTCATATGGTTTATATAATTGGCTTATTATTATTTTTGGTTTATAACATTATAATAATAATATAATTTAACATTATAACTTTGTAAACCTCATCCTTGATAGATTTACGTTTTGTTTTGTTGGGATATTATACTAATGTTTGTGCTAAATCCACTTAAAACGTATCGGGTTCCATATATATATATATATGTAATCATAAAATTGTTTTTGTTTTATTTTATGAACTCGATTCTTTTTGGACCGTTGTGTTAACATCTCAAATAATTAAATTTTATTTACGTAGAAATCTCGCATGAACATCTAACAAAACCCAATGAAAAAATCTCTGACAAACAATTAAACAAAAGGAAAATCCAATTTATTGTACAACCAAAATTGTAAAATTGTAAAATTTCGTCCGCCTATGCAGCACAAATATAGAGGGGGAAAAAAAAAACAAAACTCAGAAATTCACGAGAAAAGCTGCATAGTTGTCGGGAGCTCCTGACGACGGCGATACGGTGTCGTTTCGAGACAGAGCAACATCACCGGCACGGCCACGTGGAGGAACACCGCGGCGGAGGCGACGGCGATGCGGGGGAGAGGGGAGGAAGATAGCCGTGATGCGAGCGAGCGCCGCCGTGTATTCTTCGAGTAGCTCCGCCGCGATGGCCACCGTTATCATTATCGACGTCTGTTAACGGAAGCTTTTGACGGCGGCCGTTAAATATCCTCCCTAGATTCGTGGTGAATTTAGGAAGACGTTGTCGTATTTATAGACAACGTCTGGTTAGGGATGTCAATTAAGCCCGAATCCCGAAACCCGGCCCAAGTCCGCCCGAAAAGTATAAGGACATGGGCCTAAAAAATATAGGCTCATTAAATTTCGGGCTTTCGGGCCTCGGGCCAAATGGGCTACGGGCCGGTCGGGCCGGGCCAGTCGAGTCTCGGATCGGGCTTGAGGCCCGTTAATATTTTTTTTTGTTTTTTCTAACCTTATTTTCTAAACCAAAGTTTTACCTCTCTATACTTATAAATATGTGTACCTAAATATATATATATATATATATATATATATATATATATTTGAATCAAATGATGAACTTTTATATCTTTGTTCCAATTAAACTTTTTAAAGTGACGGGAGTTTTGAATTTCTTAACCATATTACATCATATATATATAAGTTTACATTTTAGAAAGGGTAGAAG